TTTGTTCTTCTGTGCATACCTAACAATTATTTGATACTAGATATTGTTAGTCCATCTTGTTGGTTGTTGAATATTTTTTATATAACAATAAATATCTTTGATCTCTTTTATAGGACATCATTAATGTACTTGAAAATAGTCTGATCATTTCTGAGCATGTTTTTAGGCTTTTTGGTGTTTTTTTTTTTTTTTTCAAAAGAATAAGATCTAAATGTAGTATAGGCTTAATTTTCTGCACTGTAGAGGGAAGGTTGTATTTAAGGGATTGTATTAGTCAGCTTTCCGTTATTGTGACAGAGTAACTGAGGTAATCAATTTAAAAAGAGCAAAACCTTGTTTTGGCTTGTGCTCTCAAATGTTTCAGTCCACTGTTACTTGGATTAAAGCTTTGACCTGTGGTGAAGCAGCACATTATGGTGAGAGTACATGTTGGAGGGAGCAGCTCACCTCATGACAGACAGGAAGCAGGGAGGGAAACAAGAAGGAGTTGCAGGGGTTGGGGCCAGGGATGTAGCTCAGCAGCATAAATGCTTGCCTGGCAAGCCTGTGGTCATGAGTTTGACTCCCATTCCCCACCCCCCAGAAAAAGAAGGAGTTGGGGTCCTAATGTCCCCTTCAAAGGCACAACCCCAGGGACCAAACTTCCTCCCACTAGATAACGTCTCCTAAAAGTTCCACTGCCTCTCAATAGCACCACAGGCTTAGGGGTCAAGCTTTCAGGTGTAAGTCTTTGGGGCACATTCCAGATCAAAACTACAGCACTGATGTTTTTTGAATAAAAATATTTTTCCACTCTTGCTTTTGAGAAAAAGAAATATTTGGGGCCTGTGATATTGTCTTTCTCTCTCTCTCTCCCTCCCTCCCTTCTCTCTCTCTCTCTCTCTCTCTCCCCCCCCCTCTCCCTATCACACTAAACAAGCACTCTACCACTGAGTTACATACCTAGCACTCCCTGTGAGCTCTTTGAGGTATTGTTCTCTTTAACTTTTTGGATTTTTCTTTTCCTACCCTTGGGTGGTGTTCCACACACATGTACTGATGAGTAGCCTGCTAATTCAAAAGTCAGAGCCCTCTGTGACTGCAGGTTTCTTCCACTATGCAGAACTCTGTGCTGCCACAATTCCCCAGTCTGGTTCAAGTCAGAGAAAGTGCTATACTCCTCCCAGTCACCCCTCCTTGCACCATGACATAGAAACTTTCTCAAGCCAGCTTCTGGGGTCATCAGAAATGCTCCCTGTATTTTTTTCTTACTTCTTAGGGACCACTGTTCTTTGTTGCGTGAGTCCAAGGTCTGGAATCTTGTTGCTTCATGTATCTTGTCTATTTTTGGTTATTTCAAGTAGGAGAGTAAATCAAGTTCTCCTATTCCTTCTCAGCCTAATATAAAGTCTGCTTTAATTTTTTTTTATTTTTTATTTTAAAGAGTAAAAGAAGGATAACATAATAATAGGAGGGGCTTACCAAATTACAGACAAAGTAGTAGGAAATTATCAATGGTTATTGTTTTACATATTGTTATCTATAAGATAGTTTCTCAGGAAAACAAATAGACAAATGATAGTGACTTACAGACAAAAGAGGTGGGAGATTATCAATAGTTGTTGTACTATAGTTAGGTATCTTCAAAGTGGCTTCTAAAGAATATAAATAGAACTATATACAGCAGCCATTGATATTTTCCTACTAATCTATCCATAACTGTGTTAAGTTTGTAATGTTCCTATCCTATTTCATAATGTAAGTTTATTATTATGTGTTTCCTACAACAACCATTGAGAATAGTTAATGATTTTTCAATAGGTCACTCATGTATAGCTCTATTTATTTTCTTTAGAAGCCACTTTGAAGATACCAAAGTATAGCACAACAACTCTTGATAATCTCCTACCTCTTTTGTCTCTAACTCACTATTATTTGTCTATTTGTTTTCCTGAGAAACTATTTTGTAGATATTAATACATAAAATGATAACCATTGATAATTTCCTACCATTTTGTCTGTAATTTGCTAAGTCCCCCCTATTATTATGTTATCCTTCTTTTATTCTTTAAAATAAAAAAAAGAACTATACTTGAGTGACCTACTGAATAATCATTCAATAATTCTCAATGGTTGTTGTAGGAAACACATAATAATGATAAACATGGATCCATTTATGAAATAGGATAGGAACAATACAAACATTACAGAGTTATGGATAGATTAGTAGGAAAATATCAATGACTGCTGTAATACATGGTGGTATCTTCAAAGTGGTTTCTCAGGAAGACAGAGATACACAAGAAGGATCTAACAAGTAGTTACAGCCTAAGGGTTGTCAAAAATCAAGTGAGCCATCTGGGGCAAAAGCCATTTTTTGTAGCATTTTCTCTCCAGCCTCCCATTGCATTGGGACCCCACAACCAGTTAGTGTCCTCTCCCCAACTGTCAGGACAGGCAGCAGGAATCCTGCTGCAGACTTCTCCAGAGCTCCACCACAGCCTGTACTGTCAGGGGAAGAACGGCTTCCAGGGAGTCTCTGCAGGTATTGTGCAAGGTCCTCCTGGTTTACAGCTTCCGAGCGGCTCTCGTGACCCCAGTCCACTGGACCTCTGACTCCTTGGGCTTAGTCTGCATTCTCATGTTCTCTGAGTCCTTGTTCAGCAGCTGCTCCTCCGCTGACTCTGGACCTTTCTGGTTCTCAATGGCAGGAGCAAGAGTGGCCCGTTGTATGGCATGTATTCCCAGGGTTTGTTCAAAGTTTGAATGATTCACACACATCCGTGGGTGGGCAACTGCAGTCGGTGCATGGTGGGCCAATTGTGTCACTGTTTCTCTGTGTCATGATAGATCTCAATTGAGTGGCGGCAGCCGGCCTAGGGGCCGGCGCACAACAGAGCTCACCGTCACATGGCTCCCCAGGTGCTGGGAGCCCTCCCTCCAGGGGCCTATGAGGCAGGAAGCTAGCCAGCTGGAAGACCGGCGCTCCCCACCTGAGGCTCCCTGTGCACTGGGGGCCCTCCCTCCGGGAGCCTATGAGGCAAGAAGCTAGCCAGCCAGAAGACCAGTGCTCCCTGCCTGTGGCTCCCTGTGTGCCGGAAGCCCTCCTTCCAGGGGCCTACGAGGCTGGGAGTGAGCCGCTGGTCCAAAGACCGGTGCTCCCCACCTGAGGCTCCCCGTGCGCTGTGGGCCCTCCCTCTGGGAGCCTACGAGGCAGGAAGCTAGCCAGCCGGAAGACCGGTGCTCCCCCCCCCGTGGCTCCCTGTGCACCAGAAGCTCTCCTTCCGGGGGCCTACGAGGCCGGGAGTGAGCCGCCGGTCCGAAGACCGGTGCTCCCCACCCAAGGCTCCCTGTGCTCTGGGGGCCCTCCCTCCGGGAGCCTACGAGGCAGGAGCAAAGTCTGCTTTAAAATCCATGTAGTTTGACATTGTCGTCTTCTTTTTCAGAGGTATCTGTTGAGTTTCTTTGACTCATTGCAGTCTCTCTGAGAATAGTAAACCCAAAAATACATTTACATGTCTGAAAGATTACTCCAGCGTTATTATAGCAGAAATTCATTTTCATATTTCAATATCAATTTTTCACTTTAATAATAGTATGATTTTTCTACCGTGTATTTACTCATATTACAGTTTTTCTCAAAATGTCCTATGAAGCCATTCTTAAAGTTGAATCACAGAATTGTCTTGCAAGCACCAAGAATTAGGATTATGACTCTTTACAGTAATAAAGTATCACAATCAGCCTTTTTTATAAAGCAAATATGTTTTACCAGCATTATTTCTGAATTTTCTCTCCCTATATATTCCACAAGTGAAGTAACAAATGTTTTAGCATTTTTAAATTTGCATAAAAACATGTGAAACAAATGTATCATCATTGTCCCTCAGGTTTCCTTGAAGACCTAAAAATATAAGAATATTTCCCATTTATTCTAATGATGACATATATTCCCACTGTTTTTCCCTCTTATAGAAATGGTATATACTTCTAAATTAAGTTTTTCTCCCATTTTTAAGGTACTAGAAATGACATTTAAGAGTTGCTAGGGCTGGGACACTACTGAGGGTCCCACACTTTCTTATCTACCCAAAGAGAGGATTCCAAGATCCTTTGATAGGCCTCACTTTCCTGCCCTGACCTGAGATGAGCCTCCTGCCTTCTCCCAAATGTGGCTGTCCAATTCCACCCTTTCTTATGCCAAATCTAAGAAGCCTATCCAAGATTTCCTTTGATCTCAACACAACACTGGCTTTGGAAATTCCATTGTATTTTGTTTGTAACTGTTTTTAATCTTGTGTTTGAGTTTATTTATTTATATATCTTATATTTCCAGCACCACACACTCTAGATCCAGCCACCTCTAAAATCCCTGCCCATTTATGATTCCACAAGGCTTCGCGGAGGGGGGGGTATCTAGACACAAACCATAATACTTAGTGACTTAATGAGTTCCTGTCTCAAATTTAAAAATGATGTGGATATAGCTCAATGTGAAGTCCCTGGGCTCAATCCCAAATACCACATACACACTAAATCAGATAGAGAATTAAAAGAAACAATCAAAAGACTGCTGTGCCTCTGCCTGAGGATGGTGGTGAGGTGTGGAACCTGGAGAAAAGGCAGCTGCACATGTCTCAGTGGTGCCCGAGAAATCTGTGCGGATGTGCATGCTCCTTGCTGTAGAACAGCATTGATAATGTTACCTGCTTCTCAGGGTTCAGTCTTCAAAGCAGTGGTGGCATAAAGTAAATGCTTGTTAAAAATACATGAATAGAGTCTGCTTAAGTGAGTCTGTAGATCAGTGACCGTATATTCCAACTGAAATTTAGAACATGACTGAAACATGGGCCACTTCTGGGAACAAATGTTTCTCAAAATAATACCATGCCTCCACAGACAGTTCTAGGATGGTAGAAGCTAGAGACAATGTATTTTACAGAAATAATGTTTTAGATGCCCCATGTCATCCCATGCCACATTGAAATATCCACAGCGCCTGTATTCCACTTCCTCCCCAGAGTCCTACATCTATCTCCAGGAGAGGAAGCCAGAGTCTGCTCACCCCCAGTGAGAGTGGAAAGGTAAAACTCACACTTTCATCAGTTTCCAAGCCATTGCATGGATAGAACACTCTGGAATGGAGAGGAGTTCATGTGAATGATCCCATGACAGTGCACATCCCAGCCCTGAAGTTTTAGAGTGGTGCCTAATGGGTATAAAAAGAATAAATCAAAAGAACCCCAACAAGCAAGCCAGCAATTTCTCAACAGCTTTCTTCCTCTCATACCAGGTTAGTAGTCCCATTGAGAGCCCTGGAATTTACTATAAGCCTTTGCCTTTGTTTCTTATAGAAGCAAAGGGAATTAATCACCAGTGAGGGACTAATAAAGTGCAGGCTTCTCTTAAAGATGGTGTTTATCCAGCCAGACTTCTGCATGGAGAAATATAGCTCAGTAACACAAGGGAAGGCAGAGAGCCAGCCTCAACTTGTTGATGAGGTTAGGAAAAGGGGCAGGAAAGGAAAAGTGTGTATATGGAGCGGGCTGCTAGTATTCTGGTTCCTTCTCACGTCTGGCAAGATTAAGATATTTCCTGTGGCCAAGACCCTCACAGAGGACAGTGAGCCTTTGCCGGTGACCTTCGCAGCCTCACTGCTCCAACCCTGCTTCCGTGCACTTAGGCACATGCTCTGCCTTTCTTTGCTTTCCTTTCTTCGTTTCTCTTCCCTTCCATTCTCCCTTGCTCCCTCTCTCACTTCCTGTCCCCTCTGTCTTTTTGCCAAGTCAAACTCAATAATATGTTGTTTCTTTTTGTTATAGAGACTTTCAAACACACACAGAAGTAGAGAGAAGCATATGATGAATTTCCATGGATCTACCACTCAGAGCTTCAAGTGTTATCAACATTTTGCCAATCTTGATTTATCTATTTTCCACTTCTCACTCTGTCTGCCACTCAGTATTTTCCTGGAGCATTTTTAAAGCAAATTTCTAGGATTTTGCCTTTAGAGATGTCACATGTCTCTCTAAAAGATAAGCACTTTTCAAAACCTTAGTCACAATCTATTATACTTTCCCAATTTAACAGTGTCTTGGTATCATCAAATACCCACTTTATTTGAAAATCTCCCTAATTTTCTCAAAAGTAGCTTCCTGTACTTGGTTTGTCCAAATAGTAAGCAAAATCTACATGGTGCATTTCACAGATAAATTTCTTAAGCTCTTTCAAGATGTGATAGTCCCCCTCCTTATTCCTGGTTTTCCTGTCGTATGTTTGACCTGTTCAGTTTCCCAGTCTCTCGATGTGACTAGCACATTCTTCTGTTCCTTGCATTTCCTGTAGGCTCTTGTTTAGACTTAGAAATTTATTTAGACTCAGGCTTGAGTAGCTCTGGCTGTACCACAAATCAGTTAGCCCAGATTTAGTAGTTGGGGGTGGATCAGTCAAAATGTGGATATATGGCAGGAAAGCATGCGTGTCAGTTATTTCTGTGTCTCCACTGTCATATCCAGCGTCTCCCCCAAAGCGAGACCTCTTCAGCACTTACGGAATTGAAGCAGTTAATGAAACCCGGGTTTTCAGGATGTCAGTACAAATTGCTCTTCTCAACTGATGTGCCCAAATTTTATTAATGCACATCTGTATGTTGTAAAAATTTTATTTTGTGATCTTTGCCAATGTTGATGAGCTTGGCTCAGCTCTACTCCTTTGTTTCATCTTTTTCTCATCACTAGAGATTAAAACAAGAACACTTTTAAAGATTTTAATGTTTCTCAGTAAGAAGAAGCAAGCTTTATATAAATGCTAAACATTTAAAACTAAGTATATAAAAATTTTACTCAAAAGTTTCTTGTACTCAAACATTTAGAATTTTTTTTAGAAACTAACATCTTGGGTGTCTGTGCATATCTTCCACCATGTATGGTTCCTCTTCCTTTGCAAAACTTGCCAATCTGTCAAAGCTTTAAATTCTGTGAAGGTAGCATGTCTCAAAAAGTAACTCTTTTTGATTTAGTCACATACGAATTAAGACAGCATGCGCTTCCTAACAAGGATATGTTTAGCAATCCTAGGATTGAAATCAATAGGTTTACCCCTCCCCATTTTTTCTATACCTTTAAAAACTCCCCTTTGGAGATGGAAGCAGGGGATGAGTCAGAGCGCAGGGCCATGCAGGGACAGCACCGGGGGCCAGAATAATCAGACATTCAGGGCCCAGAATGGTGCATGGTTGGCCTCAGAGGGGCTGGGTCATTTCTGCGCTAGGGTCGGGCATAGAAATGTGGCCTGCGTACGAGTATGGCTGAGTTTGCTCTCCTCACAGGAGCCCTGTGCCAATTCACTATCCCTGGACTCCTTGAGAGCCAGGTACCCTGTGTGCCACTGTGAAACTGCTTCACATGGAGAGAAACATGGCTTGAGTCACTCAGGAAACAAAATTCCCTCTGAAAATAAACACATGAGAATTACAAAGAGAAAGTCTAGTGTCATGAAAAACAGAAGACTTAGTTTGGTTGCATACAGTGCACAGGTTGTGCATCACACACTTACAGGAGTGTCACTCACACTAACCATGACCACACATGTGTGCCCGCACACACTGCAAGACCTCAGGATAGCTTTTGCTCAAGGCCATCTGATAAAGACATTGATGCCTCAAACTGATCAGAAAGGGAATGGCATCCACGGAACAAAAGCATTCCAAATAAACAAGCACCACTGTAGGAAAAGAATGGCTAGGCGTGGAAATAATCAAGTCTTTTGATAATTGAGAATCTCAGGATATGAGCTAGACAGAGGACATAATAATTAGTAAATGAGAAAAGAAAACAGGAAATCTACAACAGAGCAGATATGCAAAGATGGAAATTAGAAGAAAAGAAGAGACATGCTATAAATTAAAAGAAATGTCTGAGGGAGAGAATAAAGTGGATATTGGCCTCCAATCCAAGTACTAACCAGGCCCAACCCTACTTAGTTTCCAAGATGAGGCACTTTCAGAGTGCTGTGGCCATAGACTAAAGTGAATATAACAAAGATGATAATTGAAGAGGTGAGAGCTGAGACTGTCCAAAATTCAGACATAAGTCCTTAAATTGAAATTTCCTACCCACATAAACAACACTGGTAATAGTAAATTCCCAGCCAGACTCATCAAATAAAATGTCACAATTGTAACAATGAAGAAAAATTTTGAATGCTAACAGAGGACAAAAAAAAGATAGATAAATAAGAAGCAACAATAAATGGAAAACAGAATTTCTCACCAGATACATGTCAGAGCATATAAGAGTAATAAGTTCACAGTACTGGGAAAGATAGCTAACTCAAGAATTTTACACTCAGCCAAACTATCACTCAGGAGCGATGGCATGCAGAAGGAACACTACCTTTATTCTCTCCCCTTCCCAAGATCTCTCTGAGGAACTGTAAAGGATTTGATAGCTATGAATCCACAGTGGGCTAAATATTTTTGTTAATTTTGAAAAAATTGAAATATTTTAACTTCAACTTATTAAGAACATTTATAATCCTATAATCTGTGTGTATGTGTGTTTCACTCATTGAAAGGAACAGTTAGTGCTTATATGGTTTGATCAATTTTGCATACCTATATCTTATAATCTGAGCAGCTACTTTAAAGAGAACAATATGCAACATAATAATCATTGTTCATTCCCTATCATATTGTTTTGAAATTCTATAACATTTTATTGGTTTTTTTCTCTCTTTAAAATAAAAAAATGGACAACCAAGAAAACCAGAGGAAAGGTGTCATGATGAGATATAGTTTTCAAAATGAACACCCGGAAAAGAAAAAGAGACAATGCAAGAAGCAGAAGAAAATTTGAAAAAAAAATCCATGATCAACATCTTTTGAGATGGAAAATATTGTGTTCCTAAAATAAAGGATATGTTCTAGTTTTCAAAGAACCAGCAGGAAAAAAATTAAATGTAGCAAAAAAAGTTTTTTAAAAAAAGAGTAGAAATACTAGTAGTAAAATCAAGATATCAAGATATCTCCCACAAACCACATAGAAAAAAAAGAAAAAAATTAAAGATCAATCTATGTGGCCCCAATAAAATTTTAGGAAGAGATAATAGAGAAAAACAAGAGCAAATTATGAAAACGAGATTCGAGAAAAATTTCCATAACTTAAACAAACACATTTCACTGAATGAGCCCACTGAAGCTCTAGCGAATGAATAAAAGATGTCCACGTGAGTGGGGACCTCTGTGACACATTGAATGACATACAAAAAACAAAGAGGAGCAGCAGCACATTCTCAGTAATCTTGCAAGCTAAGACACAAGGGAGAAACACCGTGAACTCAAAACTTTCTGCTTCTCCAAATGATCAACTATGCATAAGGCTAGAGACATCTTAATCCCTGAAAGGATACAGCTACCTTAGATTCTGCCTAATCTTCCTCAAGATGCTAATAAGTGGTATGCTAGGATGAAGAACTAAGGAAGAGGAGGAGGAAAAATGTCCAGGAATAGAGGGGTGTGATGGCATAAACCACAGGTGACAAATAAGGGAAAAGGAATGGGAGAGTCAAGGTATAAAGTAAACCCCAGGTACTGTGATGCACACTTACACTCTCTGTTTCTCAGGAAACTGAGGCAGGAGGAGTTCTTGAGCCCAGAAGTTGGAAGACCATCTTGGGCAACATTTCTAGACCATGTTTGAAAATAAAAAATAAAAGGACAGAGGATGTAGTCGCGTATGAAATCCCTACGTTCAAGTTTCTGTTACTGCAGAAAGAAAAAAAGAAGAGACACAGAGAGAGAGAGAGAGAGAGAGAGAGAGAGAGAGAGAGAGAGAGAGAAAGAAAATCAGACATGGAAAACAGCATTGAGACATCTCTTAATAAATGGGATTATTTGAGAAAACTATTATCTATACAGACATAGAAAACTGTAAGTGTAAAAAATGACTAATATTAACTCTGGGCCTAACAATTTGTCAGGTAAGGTAAATCATCATGGTCACCATTTGGCTGTGGTGGGAAGGCTTCACAAATGTGAGGAGAGGCTGGTGCTGTGGGTGTATACACATACTGAAACTTTCCAAATTATATACTTTAAATATGTCCTCTTATTGCACGTCAGTTTTATCTCAATAAAATAAGAAAACAGGAAATGTTTTGGGGCATTTGACTTTTTTTCCTTTCCACTAGTTATTACTATCATAATAAATGATTGCATTTATCATTTCTAGTTGTCATTCCTCCCATACCAGAATGCTTTCCTGTTTAGTAACCCTGCAAGAGAAATTC